AGAGGAAGAGAGCGAGAGGGAGAGGAGAGAAAGAAGAGAGAGAGATAGAAGACGAGTGAGGGAGAGCGAACGAGAGAAAGAGAGCAAGAGGGGGAGAAAGAGAACGAGAGATAGAGGCCGAGAGGAAGAGAGAGAGATCGAGAGAAAGAGAGGGAAAGGAGGAAAGAGGGAGAGAGAGAGGAAAAAGGGAGAGGGAGAGAAAGAGGAACAGGCCAGTGGCTAGGATACAGAGGGAGAGAGGTAAGGAGAAGGAGAAATAAGGGAAGAGAGAGGGGTGGGCCAGCAGGCCGACGATCTAGATGGAGGGAGAGAGAGTTAAGAGGAGAGAGGCAGAGAAAGAGGTATAGGCCGACGGCTACAGACAAAGATAAGGAAAGAGAGAGAGATAGGCGGAGAGAGACTAGTGAGAGAGAGGAAGAAAGAAAGAGAAGAAAGAGAGAGGGAGAAGGAGAGGGAGAGGGAGAGAGAAAGATCGAGTGAAAGAGAAGAAAGAGAGAGGGAGAAGGAGAGGGAGAGGGAGAGAGAAAGATCGAGTGAAAGAGGAGAAAGCAAGAGGAGAGAAGAAAAAAAAAAGAGAAAGGAGAAGAAAATGAATGAGGAAGAGAGGAGAGAGAGAAGAAGAGAATAAAAGGGAAAGAAGAGAGAGAATAGAGGTAGACCGAGTACCTAGGTGGGTGAGGTAACAGATCGAACCCGTAAGCTAGGTGTGCTCCCAAGGTCCCTTGGATGCTCTTGGGAAGCTTGAGTCTTGTGGGCAAAGGCTGTAGACTAGCTTGGGTGGACTAGGCTGGGGTGTATAGTTGGTTTGGGTTGGGTAAGGTGATCTAAGGACTGTGGTTTAAGATAGACTATGGCTTATGGTTATGGGAATATAAACAACTGGTTAAGATACACTATGGCTTATGGTTATGGGAATATGGACAATGGTTGGGAGAGTATAGGTGGTATGGAGTATGGTTAGAATGATATATGGTCCAAGACTAAGGTAGTAAGGGTAGTGTAGTCCAAGGTAGGGATAGGGTGGTCCAAAGGTATTCTCTCACTAGAAAATAATACAATCTTAAGCTCGAAGGGGCAAAGCTTAGGATTTTTTATCAACCTTCCAACTTCTCTCGGCTACAAATGATATAAAGTGTTTATATATGATCTCCACAAAATAAGGGTGGATGAGCAAAAGACAACAAAATTGTTTAAAAATAACACTTAAATGAATGAAATAATCAATCCCTTTTTTGTGCAAAACCCTTGGCCATAATCTTGAAAATGACAAAATCATCCCTTCAAAAAGGGCCTCACGCCATAGCCATGCCTCAGGGCCTTTTTCGACACTTTGCAGCGACATTTCATATAATCAATCATCGTAGAAATGATGGTCGTCTCGAGACAATCGATTCGATATCCATTTTGAAGCTTGAATCGAACTTTTGATAATGAACCCAAAAATTCAGCCAAATCCATAAACTTGAGAAATTCAATAATTGATGTAGCCTGATTTGTTGCGTTCTTGGTTGATTTCTTTATCACAAATCGAAGGGGAAATCGTTGTGATTGTTTTGCGACAAAAGCCTTCCGATTTGAGTGCCAATTGATCATTTTCTTAATTTAAAAGGTCACCGAAAAATTATGCCTCGCTTCTAGCTTAAATAAGGTGTCTTCCCGCTCATAATATTGGACAAACTTTACCTCAAATCGAAGCCCTTTGAATCGCGATCGTGATAGACTTGCTCTTGAGGCAGTCCGACGTCGAGGCTTCGAGAAACGGCCATGGGAGTGAATGAATGTCTCTATCAAATTCTGCAATTTATGCATTTTTGCCAAACTTCTCTCTAAGATTTCTTCTGTTCCGGGCAATGTTTAAAAAAACTGACCGCCCGGCGCCTAGGCGCCAAAAACACATTTTCCGCTCACCTGGACTTGGGCGCCCCAACACGGGCGGCTATACTTGGGCGGGCGCCGAGCACAGTTTACTATTTTTTTTTTTTTAACTTCACCCAAAAGGGCAAAGGGGGTCATTTTGACCCCCAAGTTTGTATAAAATAAGTTTAGGGGGTCTATTTTCAACCCCAAACTGAAAAAAAAAACAAGAAACCCTCAATCTTAAAATTATTTATGAGAATCTAAAGCAATTGCTGATAATCGAAAATACTTCTTGTGGATTGAAAAAGTTTGTTTTTCTGATTGAAATTATTTTTAGGGTGCTATTGGTGGTATTAGAAGACTTTTAAGTTGATTCGTAGCTCAACTGAGATAACCAACATCAAAGATCAGAGATTGGGTAGAAAAGGTCAGTCTGTAATCTTTATTTGAGATTTATTTTTTTAATTTGAGATGTCTTTTGCGGGGTCTACTAGGGGTGGAGATCCGGGATGGAAAGATTGTGTTAACCCAGATAAGAATGACAGAAATAAAATTATGTGCAATTTCTATGGACATGTTTCTAATGCCGGCATAAATAGATTTAAGAAACATCTTGCCAATATTAGAGGTGATGTCCCCCCATGTAAGAAAGTCTCAGATCTTGTAAAGAAAGAAATTTGGAGTACATTGAAGCCGAAAAGAGTAAAAAAGTTGCAAAAAAAAAGGATATAGCCAAATTAAAGTCAAGGGTTCATATTTTTTATGATAATACTGAAACTGAAAAAAAGGATGATGAAGAGGGGGAAGAAGAGGTAGCCATGGTTGGTACTCAGAGCTCTAAGACCAAGAGGGCTTTTGGGTCTAAGAAGGCTCGTACGAGAAAGCCTATAGATAGTTTCTTTACACCTAGCCCTGAGACAGTAATTGAGAAAGGCAAGGGAAAGGAGAAAAAACAGGTGACAATTGAAAATAGGTTTAAAAAGGAAAATAGAGCCAGGGTGATTCAGTATATTGCTCGGTGGTTTTACCATGATAGCATTTCTTTTAACCATGCTAGTTTGAATAGCTTCCATACAATGTTGGAAGCAATTGGGCAATTTGGGCCAGGTTTGAAAACTCTAACTCCTTATGAGATTGGAGACCCACTACTGAATAAAGAAGTCGAGTACACTAATGAATATCTCAAGACTCATCAGGAGGGATGGGCTAAATTTTGGGTTTCTTTGATGACAGATATGTGGAGTAATAGGATGAGGAGGAGTAGTAGCATGAATTTATTAGTAAATTGTCCCACAGGTACAGTTTTTTTGTGCTCAATCGATGCTTCCAATGATGTTCATGATGCGCATTATATATTTTCTTTCATTGATAAGGGTATTGAGGAGGTTGGGGAGGAACATGTAATTCAAGTGGTCACAGATAATGCTGCTCCCAATCTAGCTGCAAGTCATTTGCTTCGACAAAAGAGGCCTCGCATATTTTGGACTCCTTGCACTACACATTGCGTAGATCTTATGCTTGAGACAATTGGTGAATTGCCTCCTATTAAAGGAATTATTTTTAAGGCTAAGGAGGTTACAATCTTCATATACAGTCACATACTTACCCTTAGCATGATGCGCAAGTTTACAAAAAAGAGAGAGCTAGTCAGGCCTGGGGTCACTAGATTTGTCACTGCCTACCTTAATCTACAAAGCATGTATAAGAGGAGAATTGCATTAAGGTCTATGTTTGCTTCAGAGGAGTGGAGTAGGTGTAAGTGGTCTAAAGATGCCAAGGGAAAGAAGACACGAGATATTATTCTTTCGAAATATTTTTGGAGTGGGGTGAAGCATGCGATATTAGTATTTCTTCCCTTGGTGAAAGTCTTGCGCTTGGTTGATGCTGATAAGCCCTCCATGGGCTTTATATATGATGCAATAGAAAGGGCCAAGAATGAGATTGTAAGAATGAGATTGCAGAGAATTTGGGCAATGATGCAGCGAAGTATGCCCCAATTTGGGAGATTATAGATGATAAATAGGATCAGCAACTCCATAGACCATTGCATGCAACAGGGTACTACTTGAACCCCAAATTCTTTAATGCAGATGTAGATATTGAGTCAAAAGGGGTAATTATGGATGGTTTTAATTGGTGCCTTGAGAAATTAGTTCCTGATCCAACTATCCAAGATAAGATATCAATTAAAGACCTAATTTCGTACAAGTGTTCTTTGATGTCATTTAGGAAAGATATAGCATTAAGGCAGAGAAACAAAGACGAACAAGGTAATATTCTTTTGACTTGTGTACTTTTGTTTTATGAAATATAAATTTAGAATTTTCTTTCAAGTTCTGATAACGTTAAATACCTAAATTAATTATAAAGGTTGCCCCCATATTGCAGCCCAATGGTGGAGACAACATGGGAGTCGCGCTCCAAACCTCCAGAAGATGGCTATGGGGATCTTGAGTTTGACAACTACCTCTTCCGGTTGTGAATGCAATTGGAGTTCGTTTTGAGATGGTATTTTACTATTTTACTATTTTAAAGGAATAAAATTTTATATGTTTTTTGTGTTTATAAGTTCATATTCATTTTGTAATATAGATTCATAAAAGGTAAGAAGACCATAGACCTATAGTAGTTACTTATGCATTATTTTTCCTTATAGGTGCATACAAAGAGAAGAAATAGGCTTGAGCAAAAGAAGCTCAATGACTTGATTTTTGTTTGAGACATTCAAAGGCTCAAGGAAAAGAAAAACCAGCCAAAGAAGGACCCTATCTCTTCGAAAGACATGGAGAATGCTTCAGATTGGCTAGTTCGTGACCCCTACTGAGGAGGTCTTCCCTAGGGAAGGTTTGACATGCGAAATGGTCGAGGAGGCTTCAAGGCAAGCTTCTTATGGTATCACTAACAAACCAGATAATGGAATAAGAAGAAACTATCAACAATTGTTCAAGGAAAATGAAAAGCATATAGAAAGATATTATCCAAGTAATGACTAGAGTATAGCAGGCTGGCGAAAGAAATGGAGATATGAGTCCACTAAAGAGCAAACAATCATGAGTCAAAGCACAAGGGACCTGTAACTATTTCAACTCATCATACACAAATTATGGTTATCTAGCAAAATTAACCCGAGTTCAAGAACATACTGTGATCCGATTATGTGCAAGTCGGAGCTCCTTCAAATCTACACAGGAAATTAGAGATAATCCAATGGTTTGCAGTTGACAATTTGATAAAGACAGCTGAAATGGAAATGAAAATTTTCTTTTATAAGTATCGCTGTAGATTAGCTCCTCAAACTACCACACATGTTGGTTAAGGAAGCTACGAAACTAAAAGGCAAAAACATAAAGAAAACATGTCCACAAAACTAAAAGGCAAAAATATAAATATAACATGACCACAAACACCTGTGAATTAATATTACCTTTGCGATAGATTTCCCCTTAGCCAGTGATTTACCAATATCTTGTATTGGGTTTCGAGAGAGAACTACAAACCAAAATATCAGTTTACTAGTTAAGAGAACGGGTCTTCCATGTAGCAACCACCAAAATTAAGCAAATATATAATGCTTGAATGTCACTAGCCAAAACAGACGGGCAAATCATCCACTACCCAAATAATTTTTAAATGTTGAACACTCCATCATGACGATAACTTCCAAGAACAAGGCCATACTTCTTACCTCTATCCTTGGCAAATTCAAAACTGAAATAAGCTTAATTTTCAAATATTAATAAGACTGGCAAAGTCAAAAGCCAATCATGCCCCAGATTACTAAATACAAAAGTTTTACAATAGTTGAACATATTTGTCTAAAGAATAATCAGTGGTAATTAAATTATGAAATAAGAAAATTAGTGGCAACTGACCGCTACATATTTAATAGATTAAGAAGACGTCTCCATATATTTCTTTGGAGGGGTGGAGCAAATGGATCCGAGGTTCACTTTATCATATAGGACAAGGTGTTTAAAAAAGGGTGTAATGGAAAGTAGAGCAGAAGCTGACAATGGTTACAGGATAGCCGTCAAAAATTGGTATCAGATATTTGAAGTGGAATTAAGACATTTGAGGGATATTGTCATGAACAAATTTGATGTTGTGAAGATGACAGTTTTCTAGGTACAACAAATATTGGCCAGAGCACATCATATCTGACACCAATGTTCATGTCTAGATAACACAGGCCTAGTCATTTTTTACAAGTCACGCCCAAGACCATAAGAAATGCCAATGCCAAAAGAGTACTAAATTCAACATACAAAAATGTATTACTTACCAAGAGTATTAAGAAAGCTTAGACGATCCAGTCTACAAATGGAAGAGATATCATTATCTACAAAAGAAGAAACAGCAAAAAATCAGAGTCAATAGCAAACAATATAAATCCTAGTGATTCAAAACTTGGACTCGGTCTAGACTCGCGAAGGTCCTGCACCCGAGTCAGCAGCCTGACTTGTCCTGGTCTCTGAGATAATTACACAGAAGGGTGGGTCGGTGACTTGGGCCGACTTAGGCCAGTCCCAGCGTTCTGGAAACATATCCAGCACTTGCTAGGTCCTAGTGACTCAGATGAATCTGAGCCTAAGTCAAACTAAATAACTTACTATTGAAACTGCAAAGTTGTTTACAAGACCTACCATTCAACATTAATGCTCGTAAGCTTGTTAGAGACTTAACCTCATCCATTGATGTAAGTATATTTCGGCCAGCATTTAAAACCTACACATTTAAGAAAAATGGCCCAAAAAGAAGCATTTTGTCGTTAAGAATAGGTACACAAATACAAAGAATTCTTTCAAAGCATGACAGAGCGGATAAAGAACTGCAAACTTGCTTCCAAATTATTAATCAAAGAGAAGAATACGAAGATGCTTGCAATTGAGTAGAACGGTTAGATTGTATGATGAGATCGATGCAATTATACATATCTACCCCAGTCTAACAAGTGGCAATCCCCATAAGAGAATTTTGAGGTGAACGCCTTAACTCAAGAAGTTGTAATGCTCTCTATTGGGACTTTTCCCTTCCCCATTGACCTTTAATCTTGCTTTTGTACTGTGCTTGCTTTTTTTGTTATTTTCTTTTCTTATCTTTGATCCTATTGTGCTTTCCTTTTGTATCTTTATTTGCTTTTATTTTACGTTATGCCCCGTTAGTTGTATGTTACATACAACTTCATGGCATTTTTCTACTTAGGAATAATATATTAAAAACGATATCAGTTTAAATTAAAACTAAAATACAACATAAATATAACAAAGAAGCAACATAGGCTAGTCGTAATCATCATCATCATTATCATCATCTAAGCCATATCCCAATTTTTTGGAATCGGCTACATAAATAATGTTCCTCTATTCTTCTCTGTCAAGGGCCATACCCTCAGTAAGATGTGGTGCAACACATCGCTTAAGAGGAACGCCTTAGCATGAACATATAACATAGGTTCAGGATTCACAATAAGATATGGCAAAGTTTTACGCTGGTTGCCAGCCTAATGCAACCCACAACCCACCTCCTTTACCGGGCTTAGGATGGGTTAAGGGATAGTTTAAGGTCTACACCCTTACTAGACCAAATTAAATGCAAAGATAAATCCTCAGTAGGTTTGTCATGCAAGCAAATTACATAAAAGGCCATACATTTAAGCAGATAGTTCTTGTAGGAGCCCACAAAAATGAGAACGAAAGATCACATGGCTACTCACCGTGAGCTTCGAAAGGCTTTCTACCCCTTTCAAGCTTTGAAGTTTGTTCTCCACAACCGAGAGCCATTTTAAGTTGACACATGACTTAAGTCCCTGAGAAAGCATGCTATTGAGGTTTATCAATAAGCTTTAACGATTGCTAGCTACTAAATCAGTATTGGTCATTTAGCTATAACAAAAAGCATGAGCTAGTATAATACAACTTATTGAATGTGTCTATAACTGACTCTAAAAACTGATCCAGTAGAAATTCATTAAGAAAGAAGTGCTACCAGAAATTTGAAGTTCCCTGTAATGATGGGTCATAAAGTTTAGATGGCCCCTCCAAATTAACAACGTCACCTCAGATCAACGATTGCAACAAATATAAACAAAACTGAAACAATACCCAATCATTTCCTCCATAAATTCAAATAGAAGTAGCAAATGCATCTCAACAACCAAAGATAATACAGAATCCTAGAACTAGTTGATCTTATTGCGAAATTTCAGCAGCATAGTTTCATTATGAATAGGAAGAATCCCCCCAAACCTCCTCCTTTGTGCTAAAAAACTCCCATAATACACATGAAAATGATAACCTTAGGGAGAAGCACCAAATTTTAGATTCTTCCATCTCATCATCTTTAGAGTCACAAAATATCAAAAGATAATTCATGAGCTAATCAAGGTAGTACATACACTTCCCTTGGGGCTTTGCGAGTTTTAAGTGATTTATTTACAATTATTTATATTTGCGAGATTTAAGTGATATATTTACAGTTAGTTACATACAGCCAATGTTCAAGAAGGGGGATGCAGCCACCTAGGTGGCCAAGGGTCTAGGCCTCCTAGGCGGGCGCCCGCCCAAACACAAAGGCAGCCTGCATTAGGAGGGGGGGGGGGGGGGGGGGAGGGGTGGTTTGGG